CCGTGATATGCGCTGTGCGCCCTCACTAAAAAACTATTGAAAGTGTCAGACAGCGATCCGGATGCGCCCCTGGTCCCACTAGAATTTTGAAGTAGAATCAGACAGCTGAGCCAGACGCTGCTGCATGCTTTCCTCACTAGGAAACTATTGAAAGTAGTTTCAGACAGCTGATCAAGAAGCTGCTGCCTGCCTCCTCACTAGAACTATAGAAAGTAGATCAGACAGACTGATCCAGATGCTGGCTGCCTGCGTCCTCACTAGAACTATTGAAAGTAGATCAGACAGCTGATCAAGAAGCTGCTGCCTGCTATCCTACACTAGAACTATAGAAAGTAGATACAGACAGCTGATCCAGATGCTGCTGCCTGCGTCCTCACTAGAAATATAGAAAGTAGATCAGACAGCTGATCCAGATGCTGCTGCCTGCGTCCTCACTAGAACTATAGAAAGTAGATCAGACAGCTGATCCAGACGCTGCTGTCTGCGTCCTCACTAGAATTATAGAAAGTAGATCAGACAGCTGATCCAGACGCTGCTGCATGCGTCCTCACTAGAACTATTGAAAGTAGATCAGACAGCTGATCAAGAAGCTGCTGCCTGCCTCCTCACTAGAACTATAGAAAGTAGATCAGACAGCTGATCCAGATGCTGCTGCCTGCGTCCTCACTAGAACTATAGAAAGTAGATCAGACAGCTGATCCAGATGCTGCTGCCTGCGTCCTCACTAGAACTATTGAAAGTAGATCAGACAGCTGATCAAGAAGCTGCTGCCTGCGTCCTCACTAGAACTATAGAAAGTAGATCAGACAGCTGATCCAGACGCTGCTGCCTGCGTCCTCACTAGAACTATAGGAAATAGATCAGACAGCTGATCCAGATGTCGTGCTGCTGAAATGTGCTGTATAACTCAACTTGCTTTGCCCTGTCTTAATTAAAAAATGTAAAACAGATGGAAATAGTTGTTAGGGGGTCTCCAGAAATCTCTTTATATCTGGAAAGTTTTTCAGGGACAGTAGTAACAGAATAAAACCTGGGGAAACTGGTGTTTTAACAAGGATTGTAGAAATGATGCCCCATACTCACACATCTCCACGATTTTTATTACATTGGATTTGATATCTTCAAGATCTCTTTGCATGGTCTCCACGTATTCCCCGTATTCCTTCAGCACTGAGGACAGAAAAATCAAACGTGACTAAAAGTCTGATCAGGTTAAAAATTGATCAGTTTAATTAAAAATATAAACGTTTCTCATTTAATCCCAGAAGGAACACGGCCTTCCAATTTACGCCTGTTTTGTTTGTTTTTTTGTTGCCATGACCACCTGCTGTCCGCCATGACCCAGATGACTGAGAATTTACACAAGCATCTTATTACATGATTATCGTCAACAAGCTAAAGACAGAAGGCAACAGGAGACGGTTCAATCTGCTTTCACAAAACTGTCAGTGAATTAATGATTTTCTTGATGATAAGTCTTTCTTTAGCATCTCTAAAAGTGATGAGAAAATTAATCAGATAAAATGATCCTTTAAAATGCTCTAAGTTTCTATCCCAGCCATGATATTCTCCAAATTAAACATGTATTGTTTTTATTTTACATATAATCACTGTGTATATGAGCAAAGTCATTTGAATAATGTCTGTTTTTTCTTACTTCTCTTTAATTCCGCATCATCTTCCTTGCTGTCGTCTTCATCTTCCTTCTGCCTGGATATCAGATCAAACACCTTGAAGACTTCGTTTCCATGCTCTAACTGCAGAGCTAATGACAGGCTTGAGAAGGCATCATTGAGTCGTTCATTCACGCTGTTAAATTCATCTCCATGGCTGCTTGACTTCAGGATACGCTTCACCAAGTTTGCCGAAGTGTATTTCTCAATGAGCTCCTGAGCGGATTTGAGAGTGAATGACAGACCTCTCAGGGCGTTCTCCACCTCAGCAGAGCGATCGACTGCATCTCTCTGTTTGATTGATTTTACCAGGCCCTCCAAGGCCTTTACGCGCTTCACAACACGAGAGCAACGCTTTTTATTGGCCTTAACTTTTTCCACCAGCGTGTAGATCCTTTCAGCAACTGACAGGATGGGATCCACGAAGTCCATGATCAACTGAAAATTCAGAGGACATATAGTTTACAATACATTTTAGTTTAGCCACAATTTATAACACATATTGTCTCCAGGCGCTTGACAAACATGTGATTGAATTAAATTAAGCACAAATGTATGTGCTGGACTAGTAAATTCCAGCACATACATTCCATCTGACCTAAGAAACCAACTGAGTCAAAAAAGGTTTTCTATGCAACGAAACCCAGCAGACTGGAGTCATTGACCTTGCAGAAGTCCTTCCTGCTTCACATTCTATGGCATTGTATCACTGACTCCCAGATCACATACATCCAGAAGAAACCTCCTCTTTAAAGGAACAAACCCCCATCAGAACCAGGCTCATTGTGAAAGTTCAGCCATGACAGACTGGGGGTTGAGAGGTCCGGTCATATTCAGAATTCAAACTTCTGAAGGTACTTCCATCCATCCATTTTATGTCACGCTTATCCCAAACAGGGTCCAGCTGTCTACAGGCGAGAGGTGGGGTCCACCCTGGACAGGTCTCCAGTCCATCGCAGTCAGAAAGTACTTTAAATATAAAATTATTCCATCCTGTTCAATAAATCATCAGTGTTTTAAATTCAAAGTAATTTTCATGTGAATGTGCTTTGCTGGAGGCATCCATGTTTGTCAAAGAACACTACTGCCACCTACTGGTTTGTGACGTCACGGTGCGGTATCGGGTGTTGATCAAGTCCCAGTGCTGTATCTGGTGTTTGTCACAACGCGCTATTATCCAAGTCATCTTGAAAACATTCTTCTTCCAAATGTTGGCTACATATTACGTGTTTTTTCTCTGGACAGAAGTTCGATGGCAAATCCTCCCTCTTCAAGTTGGCAATCCAACGACGAACCCGTCCGTGGAGGATCAGGAATCAGAAAGGGGAAACAACTCTAATCCAGCTGCCATGCACGTGGGCATTGTCAGTTTCACTATAGCTCTAGTGAATTTCAATGGTGAAGTCCTCTGGAAATCTTCAATAATTGTTGTTGATTGCCGATGTGTCTAGTAGTTCCCATTGATTCTGCTTGTAAATCGGGGAGAATGGCGCTAGGCTTACCACACCGTGACATCACTGCCAGAAGATGGCAGGAGGGAGATGGTACTATATTTGGGAAAAAATGGCCGCTCCCAGACTCAGTGATCACAAAGAAAATTATTGGTTTTATTTTTTTACTGATTAAGGCAAAATCAGTTGAATCACTCCATACTCCTAGAGCCCCCCCCACAGGAGTATGGAGTCGGGGCCCTTTATTAGGGGCCATCCGTTCTCTGTATAGGCGGAGCAGGAGTCTGGTTCGCATTGCCGGCATTAAGTCGGACCTGTTCCCAGTGCATGTTGGACTCCGACAGGGCTGCCCTCTGTCACCGGTCCTGTTCATAACTTTTATGGACAGGATTTCTAGGCGCAGCCAAGGACCGGAGGGGGTCTGGTTTGGGGACCAGCGGATCTCGTCCCTGCTTTTTGCGGATGATGTAGTTCTGCTTGCTCCCTCCTGCCAAGACCTACAGCGTAGACTGTTGTTTGTCTCATCCACTTCCCAAAAAGCTGACTGCCGATTAAAGAATACCTTCTCCGCAAACAACAAAATTCAATTCTATTCAGTTATATTTCTATAGCGCCAATTCACAACACATGTCATCTCAAGGCTCTCTCCAGTTCACCAGATCATCCAGTCAGGATGATAACAGAAAGGAACCTCCAGCATAGAGAGAAATATCACTAATATAAACAAACATAAATTCTTGAACGTTATGTGTGCCGCCATTTTTGTTCGCATAACTCCTGCCTTGAGAGCTGTGGTATCGCGGGCCACCGATAGGAGGAGAGTAACCGTGTGATGTGTAAATGGTCCAAAAAGCTTGGCATGGTTAACTGATCCATGCTCCATCTGATCCAGTAGTGGTACGAGTTAATCTTTGCCCCTCTTCCACAGGGCTCAGTCTAAGCAGGTTTTACATGTGTTTGCATTTACAGTTTTTCCAACTTTGTCTAAACGGATCTAAACAGGGCCCGTGAACAAAACACTTTACACTCATTTGTTTAAGGATGTTTTGAATAATTGTAATACCGAATAAATAAATGGATAATTGAATGTTGTAATTAATAATTAAAAGTACCATTGAATTTAATGTTTCCATAGTTTGTAGAGCAGTGGCGCCTACAGAAATGTTTCATGGGGGGACAGATGGGGCCACCAAAAATTTTGGGGTGGCCATTGAAACTGTAAACCATACTTTCAGTGTTTGAATCTACTAAAAAAACACCTCCTCAGATCTTGGTTTATTGTGTGATGTTTAATGTTACATTGCTGGCAGTGCAGAAAGGGAGGAAATGCTAAACTGATGCTGCTACAGTTTACACTGGCCAGTGGGGTGGCCAGCAGTGATGGGACTAACGGCGTTACTAACGCCGTTACGTTGTTTTAGTAACGAGTAATCTAACTAATTACTTTGACTGTAACTATAACGCAGTTACCATTGCAGACACCCCGTTACTGCGCGTAACTCGTCTCACAATGAACCTTTTTTCATGATAGGACTCGTGCGCGCCTTGTCATGAGAGAGGGGAGGATGAGAATGGCTGAATAGTGAGATTCCGTCTGTCAGTTGGTTAGGTGGGTGTTTCTGCTGGTGAGTGTTAACGTACAGCACACACACAGAGATGGAGAGTGGGGATGACTCCAGCAGCAAAACAGCGTTTTCCATATGGAAATACTGGTGTTACGTCGAGCTGCGTTTCCCCATCAGATACGGTTTCCCCTGCATCTCCGCACAGCGCAGGCGGCACGATTCACCGCGCAAGCGACAGGAAACGTGCATGCTTGCTAAAAGCGCGCAACAGGAGAACTATCGAGAGCGTGAACGATCAAATGAACCTGACAACAGCCAGAAATGATAGCCTATATGGAGAAAGGGAGAAATCTGGATGGATGGATGGATGGATGGATGGATGGATGGATGGATGGATGGATGGATGGATGGATGGATGGATGGATGGATGGATGGATGGATGGATGGATGGATGGATGGATGGATGGATGGATACTCTGCCTTTTCAACCGACTGTATTTTTTATTTTAAACATTATTTGATGGCCTTTGTGGCAGGGATGGAGATCCATATTTTATGTCACACACAGAGTATAGATCTAGATAGATAGATAGATAGATAGATAGATAGATAGATAGATAGATAGATAGATAGACAGACAGACAGATATTGCAGTATCTATAACAACACAAACACACAGGATTTCAGAATTAGACATCCCCAGTTATTAATTTCATATACTCACCAGATCTGAATGCCCTGTTAAAAACCGTCACATCGCTATCTTCCCCTGATGTCATTTACGTTGAGTTGCAATAAATGCTAAACTCTCTGCAGGTTCTTGTCTTTGTCATCCGCTCTATTCAGCTGGCTTTGGAAACACACGGCGAGAAGGTGGGGGCTGAGTGGTGAGGTTTACGGAGGCGAGAAACGCAAATGTAACGCAATAGTTACTTTTACTAGTAACTAGTTACCTTTATTGTGGAGTAACTCAGTTAGTAACTCAGTTACTTTTTGGGAGAAGTAACTAGTAACTATAACTAATTACTTTTTCAAAGTAACGTGCCCAACACTGGTGGCCAGTGGAGTGGCCAATGAGGGTGGCCAATGAGGGTGCCACCATGTGCAATGCCCTGGCCAGCCCTGTTGGCACCACTGTTTGTGGCCTAAATAACTGTCAAGTAGTCAATATATTAATGACTTACATTAAATTAAAAGGCACTTGATTATTGTCCAAATTTGAAAAAGGTAAAGTGTATAAAGTTTGCTATATAAGATGATGTATTTTGTGTTTTTTATGTATTCAGTTGTGATTTTGAGAATGTTGAAAAAGCCACTGATTGAATAGTGATCATTTGCAAACTTATTATTGAAAATTGGGTTCTTACATTTTCACAATATTTTATATTTCACTTTTATCAAACATTTTCCTTTCACTTCCTATTTTAAATCCAAATCACTTCCGTCTGACATCAATTGCCCAAATTAATTCGTGGAAAGTTGATTTTAAGTCATAATTTCAGCTCCTGTTTTCTCTGATGTCGTTCTTGCCTCTCTTTGTTGCAGCTACATATTTATTTCACCAAAATCTTGCTTTGTTAATGATCTTCTGTTTTGAGCAGTTGCCAAAAGGAAACAGCTCATGAAAGCTTGTTTTTACCACTCTTATGAAGGTAATTTGGTGAGGTGGGACAATCTTCCTGATCAGAATGAATTTGTTTAGTCAAACTTGATGAAGGGAAATTCAAGAACAATACTGAGTTTACATCAAAGGAACTTAGTTGAGTAGTCTACTCTCTATGTTAGAGAGGAACAGAAGTAAAAATGCATTTTACCTGCAGGGAGTAGTCAGCAGATTTCCAGGTACTGTTAGCATTGGGTCAAATTGAAACCTTGCAGTCGAGCACTCCACAGTTCTTCCTGTTTGCCTCTGAAAGTTACATTACTTCCTGCACTGTGGGAGGGCTCTCTACGGTGCTTTCAAAAGCAGAAACATGACTCAGTGAAAGAGGAAGGGTGTGGCAAAGACAAACAGGCGACTTATCCTGGCTGACTATCTCTATAATTTTTCTGAATGTCTTGTTTACAAGAAGACAGTCATCACCTATTCACTACTTCTATTACAAACCGGTTTAAAACAGTTGCTTCTCCCTGTGAAAGTAATCGCCCCCTGTACACATGAAGTGGTACATTTCAAGACCAATGTTTGTGCATAGATTGCACCATGTAGATTCTTCTGTCTCTCCACTCTGTCTTTGTACTGATATTGGTGGCTTTTTTATAATTAAAACAAAACTATTGTGATTCTGAGGAGACTGTCTTTGCAAAATGTTAATAATCCACCCATCTATTCATTAAGGGAATTGTTGGCCTAGTGGTTAGCGTCTACAGCTTGGAATCCAGAGGTTCTGAGTTCGAGCCCCACTCACACACACTGCCACTCTGGCTCCCTGAGCAAAACCCCCTTAACCCCCGATTGCTCCCTCGGCGCCGCACGATGACAGCCCACAACTCCCCAAGGGGATGGGTCAAAGGCAGAGGTAAATTTCTCCAATGTGAGATCAGTAATGTTCAATTATTATCCATTTCCAATGAAATCTGTTTTTTCATGTGGTACTGACTCACAACACCTCATTTCAAGGTGCTGTAAAGCAAAAATTCTATGGTGTTACTGGTGTACTATGGCAAGCCAGAAATAACAAAATTGACCCCTTTTACCACAGGTTTATTAAAAAAAAACTGTTTTATAAGTCATAACTCTTTAAAATAAAGATAAATATCAAATTAAAGCAATAATTAAACACCTAAAACAAAATGCTTTTCTGGTAATAGATTGCTTCACTTTACGTGACTTGACATTCAAGGATGGTAGAAGTGTAGATCCGGCTAATTCATAACAGATCAGTGTTTTGAAAAGCAATTTGATGTTAGGTTTACTGATTTGATCTATCGATATGTCATTTTTAAAATCCATGTTCTATCTACAATACTTTATTCCTCCACAATATGCCACTTGCATGGGAGCAGGTCCACAGAAACAGAAAATTGTATGAATTTGACCAAAAATGGAAGTACAGACAAAATTTCAGCTTTCTTCATCATTACCTACTTGATGATCTGGATTTTGAGTTTACCTCCTTAGTTTTCTAAAAAAATATAATTATCGCTATAGTTTCGTTCTTGCTACTTTCAACTCCCTGCATAATAGGACGCTTGATGAATCTATTAGCACAGCCTGTTTAGATATGGACATTTTTGCTGGGATAATATCTGCTGCCTACATTTATTTAGACCCTATAATCAGGCTTAGACTGCTGGAGGACATAGGGACCCCTTTTTCATCATTCTGCTTCATTCTATCTCTATTCTCCCACTCTGCAGAATCTGTTAGTTCAATCTCTAACGTTCTGCTCTCTCTGCTTTTTCTCATAGTAGCTTCATCTGGTCTGTTCCTGTTTGGCTGTGACTCCATCCTGGAGAGAAATATCAGCTGTGCTGCTTCCATCAACACCTTTGTTTCTAGATGTTGTGTACAAACTGATCCTCTGATCTTTAGGATTTTCTCAGTAAAGAAATTAGCAAATTCAATGCAGGCCCTGGTGGAGTGGAGTTCAGGAGCCAAGGGCACAGGACGATTTGTTAATTTGTCGACTGTGGCAAATAACGCACAAGTATTATTAATGTTCTTAATGATTTCAGAGAAGAAAGATTCTCTTGCATTTTTCAGTTGTAAGCTATATCTGTAAAGTCTCTCTTTATAGATGTCATAGTGAACCAGGAGTCTCGTCTTTCTCCACCTGCGTTCAGCTTTTCGACACTCCCTTTTTTCACTTCTAACTGCTGGAGCACTTCTCCAAGGAAATTTTTTCTTTCCGGAAAAGACTTCCACTTTAATTGGAGCAATGCAGCTAATGATGTCTGAGACTTTAGACTGAACGTTATCTACTAGCTCATCTACTGAGTTGCAGCCGAAGGTTGAAGTAGCAGAGTAAGCTTGAATAAAGGTTTCTGTGGCATTTTCCTTAAAGGTGCGTTTTCTTATGATGTCCCTTTGGCTAAATGAGTCACTGGAAATTATGCCCTCAAAGGTAACAGAAAAGTGATCGGATAGGGCAACATCAGTAACACTGACTTTAGAAATCTTCAGACCTTTAGTGATGATCAAGTCTAAAATATGTCCCTGTTTGTGCGTTGGTTGTTTAACATGTTGAGTTAGACAAAAGTTTCTAAGTGTGTCACACAGTTCTTTTGCACTTCTTTCTTCAGGGTTGTCAACGTGAAAATTAAAGTCTCCCACTATAATTAAACAGTCATAATCAACGCATATCACAGACAGGAGGTCACTAAAATCATTAAAAAAGTTTGACGTGGACTTAGGAGGCCTGTAAACATTTACAAACATAGTTCGTACCGGGCTCTTAACCTGCAGAGCCAAATGTTCAAAAGAGTCAAATTTTCCCAAAAACACCTTTTTACACTTCAGTGAGTCATTAAACAATGTTGCCACTCCTCCACCTTTCCTTTGCTGTCTGCTCTCGCAAAGAACATTATAGTTTGGAGGAGACGACTACAGCATGTGCTTCATTAAGTTTATGTAACCATGTTTCTGTTAAAAACATAACATCAACATTATTGTCAATAATAAAGTCATTAATTAAAACAGATTTTCCTGACAGAGATCTAATGTTTAATAAAGCCAGTTTATATGACTTAGTGGTTGATGTTTTCTCTGTGGCTTATCTATCTTTCAACTTAATTTCCAGTAGGTAATCTATCATTCAAGGGCTCATCTAATTGGTCAAATGCCAAAATCAGATGTACAGCCATGAAGCAGGATCTATGCTGAATGGCTGGATATAGATTTTGTGCTTCTAAACCTCACTGAGGGACAGGGGGACTCCATTTATAAGGGGGGTGCAGGTGATCAAAAACGCTAACTTGCCAAAAAGCAAAGTTGGCCAAAATATATAATACTTCCGATGATGACTGCCTGAGGTGCAAACAGTCCCCTGCCACTATGGGTCATATGTTCTGGTCCTGTGTTGGATTGTAAATATTCTGGACTGAAATTTTTACAGCCTTTTCCTTTTTGTGTAAAAATACAATTAACCTCAATCGAGTAATATTAGTATTTGGATTCTTCCAAACCAACATGGTCTAACTTCATTTCAAACCAATGCAGTTGCTTTTTGTCCGTTTCATGAAGCAGGTTTAACAAATCCAGGTTCAAATCCGTAACTCTAAATTGAAGTAAGCTAAAGTCGGGAACTCTGCGTGTTCGGTTTCACAGCGGCTGCTATGAATTAGTTCCATCAATTTCAACCAGGTCCACTCTGAGTTAAATGCGTACGCATCAAGTATGGAAAGCCATTATCATTGGAGCACCGATTCGATGAGTCACCATGACAACAGGCAACAGGAAGAGCCTATTTCACCTCACTGGAACTAGAGATTATAATGAAGAAATGAAAAAAAAAAATGAGAATGTGTTTTTAAGAGAGAGAAGCAGCGCTACAGCTACAAAGCAGAGGAAGATGGCGAAGCAGAAGATTGTTGCTCCAGTTAATACCTAAGTTTATATGAAGTGGGCTATGGCAGGCCGTTTTTACATTTATTAAAAGCACTCCCCTCTCTGTTGGTCCATTTGTAGATCAATAAAATAAGATTCTTCCTGATCAAAATCACACTCCTAGGCCTAACTGTAATAATAGATTTTCTAAATTACATTTTTGTAGCAGAAAGTGAATTTTAGAAAAAAATAAAATAAAAAATTATACTAGTAATAATTTAGTTTTATATACACTACCGTTCAAAAGTTTGGGGTCACATTAAAATGTCCTTATTTTTTAAGGAAAAGCACTGTACTTTTCAATGAAGATAACTTTAAACTAGTCTTAACTTTAAAGAAATACACTCCATACATTGCTAATGTGGGAAATGACGATTCTAGCTGCAAATGTCTGGTTTTTGGTGCAATATCTACATAGGTGTATAGAGGCCCATTTCCTGCAACTATCACTCCAGTGTTCTAATGGTACAATGTGTTTGCTCATTGGCTCAGAAGGCTAATTGATGATTAGAAAACCCTTGTGCAATCATGTTCACACATCTGAAAACAGTTTAGCTCGTTACAGAAGCTACAAAACTGACCTTCCTTTGAGCAGATTGAGTTTCTGGAGCATCACATTTGTGGCGTCAATTAAACGCTCAAAATGGCCAGAAAAAGAGAACCTTCATCTGAAACTCAGCAGTCTATTCTTGTTCTTAGAAATGAAGGCTATTCATGCGAGAAATTGCTAAGAAATTAAAGATTTCCTACAACGGTGTGTACTACTCCCTTCAGAGGACAGCACAAACAGGCTCTAACCAGAGTAGATAAAGAAGTGGGAGGCCGTGTTGCACAACTGAGCAAGAAGAAAAGTACATTAGAGTCTTTAGTTTGAGAAACAGGCGCCTCACAGGTCCCCAACTGGCATCTTCATTAAATAGTACCCGCTAAACACCAGTGTCAACATCTACACTGAAAAGGCAGCTATATCTGAGACTGGCCAAAAGAAAAAGATTAAGATGGGCAAAAGAACACAGACATTGGACAGAGGAAGACTGGAAAAAAGTGTTGTGGACGGATGAATCCAAGTTTGAGGTGTTTGAATCACAAAGAAGAATGTTTGTGAGACGCAGAACAAATGAAAAGATGCTGGAAGAATGCCTGACGCCATCTGTTAAGCATGGTGGAGGTAATGGGATGGTCTGAGGTTGCTTTGGTGCTGGTAAGGTGGGAGATTTGTACAGGGTAAAAGGGATTCTGAATAAGGAAGGCTATCACTCCATTTTGCAACGCCATGCCATACCCAGTGGACAGCGCTTGATTGGAGCCAATTTCATCCTACAACAGGACAATGACCCTAAACACACCTCCAAATTGTGCAAAAACTATATAAAGCAGAA